GGCCATCAGCAGAATGATGAGCACACAGATAATGATCACAAACAACCGCAGCACAGCCCTGGTGGCGACGCCGCGGGATAGCCCAGATATCCACTGGACACCCACCGGCATCTTGGAACGCCATTTCTGTGAAACAATAAAAGAAATGCTCATTACGTCACCTATCTTAATAAAGCTATTTGCAGCGATTTTAGTTGCTATAACTGTGCATAAACAAGTGTCTGCCTATTGAGACGTTTGCACTTTTCATTCAAACTGTGAAGCACTACTTAATTAAATTAATTAATTCAAATCGCTGCTCTTTTCAGAGTTAAAGTGAGATGATAACGTTGATAACAATCGGTAAAAGTGAAGGGGTACTCTTGCGCAAAAACGGACTGAGGAGATGGACAGAGAGGTGTGTTAAATGTGTCTCAGCGAGCGTTTCTATTAAAAGCAAAGAAATATTTTTACATTCAGGCATTTATGAGAGTTGGTATAAGATTGGGGGTGTGCATGGTTTGGTTTTCATCGTTTTCTTTGCTTTTGTCTTGTATTAAAAATAAAAAATGCAGGACTAAATGTGCAAAAGCTCCTGTGTGTTCCTCTGGAGCCGTCAGTCAACCCTGAACCTGGACCGTTCACACCGCAGGTGCACGTACGCATGTTTTCTCTTCATTTGAAGAACCACTGACACTGAAACCTGGACTGTCGATAAAAGGCGGATCACCTGTTGATATGTATTAAACACAGCCCGCCTGGGTTTGTTTACCTCCAAGTATCCGGTGAAAGCAATGAACAAGAACACCACCATCACTGCAAAGGTCACACCGTAGGACACCGCCATCACGAAGTTCCTGTAGAAGAATGAAAATTCATAGTTCACACCGCTTTCTCTCCAAATAATAAAAGACGTGTGCGCTTGTGAGACGGCAAGCAAGAAACAGTATTACTCACGTCTTAGAGACCAACATCTGGACGGTGAAAAGAGCGACGAAAATTAAACCTAAGCAGCTCATTGAGTGGTGCAAACCCTCCACTTCTGAAAAGCGGAACTGAAAACAAACATAGTGTAAATGGCTTAAAAATGCTCAATAGAACCTTAAACGCGCTTAAAAGTCCAGTAATCTCATCTTTGACCTGTATGAATCTACCTGTTTCTCTAAGTTGATATCGTTGAACAGCAGAGTCAAACAGTTGAGCTTCTTTGCTCTCTTCCTGAATGAAAGATTGGAAAACAATCAGAGGACGAATCACAGAAGCCAGAAATATTCAACAAATCAAGTTTCTTAAATTAATTTTAATGACTAACAGTCTTATGAAAAACTACATACACCCCCACGGTGTCCACAGGAGTTAGGAGGGTAAGGTTCGAGTCAGGCACTGTTAATGTCAAATGTCCTTAATTAACTGAACATCAGCAGGTGTCAGAGCACCTAATTTGCTGCTCTGGAGCAGTCAGGTGTTTGTTAACACAATGACATGATCTGACAGCAAATTCACCCCCGAGGTCAGACCGTGCTA